AGTTTCTTTTACAATGCTGTTTTCACCGAACACTATCTATTTAGCTGTCTGTCTGTCTATTCCATTATTTCTTATTTTGTCTGTCTATCTGTGTGTCTGTCTATTTATCTATATATCTGTGTGTCTATTTATCTGTCTATCTGTGTGTCTGTCTGTCTATCTATCTATATATCTGTGTGTCTGTCTGTCTATTTATCTATCTATCTGTGTGTCTGTCTGTTTGTCTCTCTGCCAATCTCTCTGTGTTTCTGTCTGTTTGTCTCTCTGCCAATCTCTCTGTGTTTCTGTCTGTTTGTCTCTCTGCCTATCTATTTATCTATTTTTGTGTCTGTCTGTTTGTCTCTCTGCCTATCTACCTGTATCTATCTATCTATCTGTGTGTCTGTCTGTATCTATCTATCTGTGTGCATCCTGTTCTAAGCTAGATATAAACATACTACAAAATAAAGTGTATGGAGGTCACTCACCTGCCTACCTTTGTTCTTGCCCTAGGGACAGGTACCTCATTCGCGATGAGCGTAATCGTGCTGGCACTTGTTCTTGTCATGCACGTTTGGAACAATCAGGAAGCGATTATATCGCCAGTGAAAACGACATGGAATTGGAGCGCGGATTTAAAAAAAAAAAAAAGTATATTGTACTTGACTCATTGGGATAGTCAGTAGAGGTCAGCACTTGGTGATCACGAGGCTCTGAACTATTAGGCCCATGCGAAACTAAAGAAAAGTGATCAGTTAATGCACTTGAAGTTATAAGCAAATTTTGGCTCATTAGTTTCTTTCTGATATGATTTGGTTTTAATGAGAACGGTCCGATAAGTATCAGTAGTTTGATATCTTAAAGTGCAACATGAATTTGTGTATTCTCTCTCACAAACCTTTAATTTACTTGAAAATATCAAAATGGCTGAAATGTAAAAAAAGAGTAAAAATAACCAAAATATAACGCTTTGTCCGTTTTACCGAAGTGTTCACCTTAAATGGTTGAAATATACAAAAATATAATAACCAAAATATAACGCGTTGTCCGTTTTACCGAAGTATTCACCTTAAATGGCTGAAATATACAAAAATATAATAACCAAAATATAACGCGTTGTCCGTTTTACCGAAGTATTCACCTTAAATGGTTGAAATATACAAAAATATAATAACCAAAATATAACGCGTTGTCCGTTTTACCGAAGTATTCACCTTAAATGGTTGAAATATACAAAAATATAATAACCAAAATATAACGCTTTGTCCGTTTTACCGAAGTATTTACCTTAAATGGTTGAAATATACAAAAATGTAATAACCAAAATATAACGCGTTGTCCGTTTTACCGAAGTATTCACCTTAAATGGTTGAAATATACAAAACTATTTTATACCTTATACAGTGGTGTAAGAAAGAGTTTCGAAGTGGGGGTACTTGACTAGAAATGAAGATTTTACAATGATAGATTGAAAGTATAAGGAGTTGGTAACAGCTCAGTCTAGGGGGTCTGGGGGTATGCCCCCGGAAATCAATATAATAATATATTTTACAGTTGCTATGTAAGTCAAATATGTAAAAGTGGGGGTGTTAAATCACCCCAGTTTTCGATGTCTCTATTATAGTTGAAATGGAAATTCTGATCAGGATATTTTGGGATTATTGCTCGTTTGCATACTACCAACTCACCCAACTTGATCTAAATGTTCATATGTTACAAAGGAGACAAAGATAACACTTCAATGTTTATGTAATCTTTCCATTACAAAGTTAAAAACTTATGAACAAAATATAATTATCATGTTAATGAAATATTGACTTACAGAAGTGTCGTTAGTTTACGTAGACATACGCCGTGCACTGTTGGCGAGGGGTACTCATTACTATAATCTGGGTGAGATGGAGCTCTTTTTCTAGGATAGCGCTCTGCCTTATAGACGCTTTAAATATATTTCCCAATGCTGAAAAAGAGGGAATCCTCAATTGCCGCGGCACTTGAAATTCTTATAGGCAGGATTCGAGTAAATTAATCTGTTAGCCCTTTTTTTCCTCCTCTTTATTAGCACTAGTTTTGGTGCGCCAGCAATACCAAGCGTGGGATGCGCGTATACCCGATTCAGTTTTATTACTCATCAGGATCTCTACCAGCCTACCCTCAAACTGAAATTCTTTTAGGCAGAATTAGAGTAAATTAATCTATGAGATATTGGGCGTGGTCAAATACATC